GACTTTAGATTTTACTGATAGGCTACAGATCAATTTTAAAGACACATATTTAATATTTGTATGTTATCACAAAAGTGAAGAGATTTTGGTTAAATTGCTCCTAGGGGTGCCTGGGTGTCTCAGTTGGTCAAGCGTCGGACCCTTCATCTCATCTCAGGTCTTGAGCTCAGGGTCCTGAGTTCAGGCCCTGCATTGGGCTCTGTGCTGGGCCTGAGGCCTACTTAAAAAAAAGAAAAATTAATTTTTAAAAAAGATTACTCTGAAATAGAAATTAAATATACTTCTTAAACACGTTTAACAAAATTAGGATGAGACCAAATTTTACTGTTAAAAAAAACAAACTACAGTTTAAGATTGTATTACTTTGCAGTAAATTTTTTTTTAAGGATTTATTTTTAAGTAATCTCTACATCCAACATGGGGCTTGAACTTACAACCCCAAGATCAAGAGTCACACACTCCACAACTGAGCCAGCCATGCACCCTACTTTGTGGTAAATTCTGAAAAGATTAAGCAACATGACAATCTATTGTATTCCTTCTCCATTCTGAGGAGGAAAAGATGTAACTGCTAACTCAAGGTAAGCCATCATTACATTAACATCTAATGTGTTACATGGTTCAAATGACCACAAACTGAACTCACTAACAAGGTAGTATTTCATGTGGTAGAATTCATAATTGCTTTTACACATTATTGAGAAAGTAGACCCATTATTTAGAATAAGCTACTACATTTGGCCCTCAAAGAGACCAAACCATTTCAGGAAGCTGGATATATCCTGGCTGCAACTGTCAAATGTTTCTTTGACACTTTTAATTCAAAATAATGCTAAAAGACAACTTGAATTTTTAAATAATTGAAAAACGTAAATCATATATATACTTGTCAGAATGCTACCCGGAAAAAGCTCTTCTTTTTACTTAAACTTCAAACTTTGGTAGCTGTAAATGAGTTACAGTTCAACTGTTAGTGAATTTCTGCAGATGCTATGATTATTGGGAAGTAGGTCTGCAAACTATATTAGGATGAACTGGATATAAAATCTGAAAAAACTGCTTACTAATTTATCCCCAAACATACTAAGCTAAAGCAAATGCTGCAGCACACCATGGAGAAAAGGAGGTAAGTCATTCATGGTACTGCCTGCTACAAGCTTGCCAAAGATGGTACATGCATCCTGATGTTTCCAGGCATGGGCTAGTGACTTCGAAGAACAGTTGCTGTTTGAAGGCACCATGGGCCTCCTCATGGCTTGTATGCTAGCAATTAGAGGCTGTTTACTTAGCGGCTCTCTGGGGACTAAGAAGAGCTATCCTGCAACTGCCTCAGCCATCTTTGTAGGTGAAGGATGCGACGGATCAGAGCTTAAGTTTAGACTTTTGAAACGGTGGTGACTCTGACTTATGTACTTAAAATCGGAGTTACAAAAAAAAATCTGGTGCTCTGCTTCTCTGGGTATATTTCGTTTTGCAAATACCCATTTTTTTTTACTTTTTTCAGGTACTTCCAACAAATTAATTCACACATGCTGTGCTTTCTATCAAATCTTTAAAGTCATTTCACCAATTTATTTGTGAAAAAATTGGACATTTTTCGCTTTGTCAGAGATGCAATCTCACAACTGTATTAACAAAACAGTAAAGATCATGTAAAAACATAAGCAAACTTCAAAAATAATTTAAAAATTCTGTTTTTGATGACACAAATAAATAACTCACGAATGTAACTCCTTAGCTCTTAGCCTCCAACAGGAATGTTTACAAACAATCTGGTAATACACGGTAAGAATTTAACAACAAAACTGAAAGTATTCTAAAATGTCATTTAATTCAACTGACTTAAATGGTCTGCACTAAAGGATACATCAAAATGCCACATACATTAAAACTTGTAACCAAAGACTGTATTTCTACATACGGATGCTTCAGAAAGCAAATTCACCAGTAATGCTACAATTACTTACATCAGTAAAATGGTATACAGGAAATGAGTAAATACATATTTACTGAATTTAACCTGTGGAAGTATTTTGTAGTTATGCATGTTGTTTTCAAATAGGACAACCGGTCTTAAACTTTGGGGAGGTATGGACTCTTCTGGGAATCTCTCTCAAAAAAAACGATAGTCAAAGAAAATTTTGCAAATGACTGCAGGGTGTACAGACCCAAGTTAAGAACTCCTGACACAGAATCACACACCTTCATGTAATTTCCCTTAACTGTATACAACTCAAACGGGCAAGTATTAGTTAGCCTGACTCTGGTTTCAGAGCCTAATCAAATACAATTTCAAGAAAAGAAAAACAGTAACTTATGATTAACCTGGTTCATTTAGAAGGGTTCACTTCTTCAACTGTCAAAAATGGTAACAAATCTAAGTTTTTGACAAATCATTAACAACTATTAGTTTTGTTTATAAATATTAACATTCATTAGTCAGACTTACAAAGATGTCATTAGCAAGATGAAGCAAAATAATTTTATTAACATTGTTGAACACTAGAAAGAAAATGGAAGGGAATCAGATCAGTATCATTGGCCATGGACCTGAAATACTGTTCAGAGATGGTCAAGGATGACCATATAGTCTAAGACACCTGCCTCTAAATGAATCCATCCACAAGCTGAACTTAAACACACACACACCAATACCAAACGGCAATTTATTCCCTTTCTTTAAAAAACGTTAAGGGTAGTCTGACCAATTATAAGTAGGGAGGCAGAAAAGCAAATGCCATGTTAAAATTTAAAAAACTATAATAGTTATACTATTTTCCATTTACAGCTAGAGTAGGTTAAAACACAAATACTGCAAAAAATTACTGATATTTCTAGAAATATAAATATTCCATCTATACATATACATATAATCAATATAGGAATAAATAAAATTACAATAAAAACACTAGGAATGTGCTAGCACATTTTTAAAAATCACTTTAAATGTGTTTTTATCACTTTAAATTCATATTAGGCCCCATAAAATTAAAATATGCATTAACCAAGTTTCTATTCTAAAGAGGTGTCCAGTGCTTTTAGATTGGAAAGAGCAACATAAGTGTATAAAGATGACAAATAATAATACCCACATGCCCATAGTTCTCAAGAAAAGCTTTCATTTATTCTATGTGCCCTCTTAAAAACTTACTGCCAGTGTAAAAAAAAAATTGTATTTTACCTCCAAAAACAAGCTATGAATTCACTACAACTTTAATAACAAGATAAAAAATAATAATCTCTTCCAAATCTCCTAGGATTTGGAACAAAAGCATCTGCTGTAAAGCGAATGGAATGAAACTCCAAAGAGGTAACACAACTGAACTTTACCTCAAGAAAAAAGATGTGTTTCTTGATCAGAGCTTCATTCTTTTGCAAAGAATACTGATCTTAAAAATCACTTGCTTTTATAAAATACAATCCTTTGTTGCTTCTATTTTATAGATTTTATATAGAACTTAAAATATCAAGTCCTGTTGGTTAAGAGACTACCAGTATTCTTTCATGCTATGTCTCTCCCTACATAGTAGTTTGAACCAACTTCATCAAAAGGGCCCTGACTATTCATAAGTGATTTAATCAAAGTAATGTCCTAATTAATCAAGTACAACAAAAAGATCCAAGGACATGAAGTTTCTTTTTCACCAAATGTCAAAGCTATGACATCTAATTATTTTTAGAGTTAGCTAAAAGGAGATTCTGAAATTGTTGCCTATGTCCCAAGCCCTCTAAATATATTAGCAGCATATTGATGGGGCCCCTATTCTGAAATGTCAAAAACAAAACAAAACAAAAAACCTTTGTCATTTATTTCAAATGAATTCAGCAAATCCTCAGGGGTGGCCTAATTACTGTACATATTTAGCACTATGCTAGCAGTTGATGAGGGCTCCAATTATATACATACACATACAAATATGTTGGAATAAACAGAAATACGGAATAAAAAGAATCATTTCTGCACACTCCTCAGGAAAGTGAAACGGGTATTTTACCTTTGCATTCTATTTCAGAATGTGATAGCAAAGAATGCAACAAAGACCGGAGAGTGTAGCAACATAGAAATTTCAGTATATAAAAGTATAGGCGAGTTAAATTTTCAGTTAAAAATCCTACGTCCCCTGCTGGTTAACTACAGCACACTGCATAAAGTTTATTGTGTGATGACAACTGTTTCTAAAAAGCACAATTTCTTACCCTCTGTCTTCCTTTCAAAGTGTCTTCTAATCCTCAGACCATGATAATTGTATTTAGCGGCTTTTATTTTAAAATAAAGGAGGTGATTTTAAAACAACAGAGTGGTATGTGTTCTTTGGAAACCAGATGATTTAAGTCTAGGCCCCGGGTGTCCTCCGTCACGCTTGAGACTCCGGGAAGTGAAGAGGAAAGCCCACCTTCTGACAGTGTTTACCGCACTGGAAGAAGCTAAGAGCAGGAGCACTGACCCAGAACCAGGTGGAAGAAGAAAGCCAAGGCACTAAGGGGCCCCAGCGGGGTCGTCGCACCAGATACCGCCCGGCTAGAAACATATGGGAAGCCAGAGATAGCTCCCAGCACCTTCGAAAGCGCAGCGAAGGCGGCGCGGGGCCCGGCGGCGAAGGCAAGGCTGCGGTGGCGAGGGGCGCGGCGGGACCAGCACCGCCGGGGCGACGCGGGGAGCCGGCCGGCTGGAGAGCCCGGCGTCAATTCCAGCCCGCGGCGGAGGCGCACGTGGGGCTCGAGGCCGAAGGGCCTCCAGGGGCCGCCGGAGGAAAGGGCGGCAGGTGCGGGAGAGGAAAGCGGCTTCCCCAAGAGGACGGGCCCCGGAGGCCGCAGGCCGGGGCGAGGGAGGAAAGCCCCCCGGAGCAGAGGCGAGAGGGCCCTGGAGACTGAGACACCGGCACCGCCTACAGGGTGGGGGAGGGCAGGGGCACTCAGGGAGGCTGGTGGCGGCGGCGTGGGGGACAGAGATGGGATGGGGAGCCCCGAGGGACGCTCCCCAGCGCGGTACCCCAGCTCACCGTGCCTCCGTCCTTAATGATGATCTTCTTGGCCAGCATGATACTGCGGTTCGCGGCCCGTTTCTTCTTCTTCCCCTGGGTCATTTTACCATCCTCGACTCCTGGCGCTGCTGCAGCCACTCCCGGGGCGGCCGGCCCCAGCGGCGAGTGCCGTCCCGCCGCTACTGCCGGGCCGAGCCGCTCGGGGCGCCCGCCGCCATCTTGAGGGCCCGGCCTGCCTCCGGCGGCGCGTCACATCGTGCGATCAGCGGAGGAGCCCGCCCCGCCCCACCCACGTGACACCGCCCCGCCTTCTCGGTCGCGGTGCGTTCGCCGCGCGGGGAGGGAAGCCCAGAGGGAAGCCGCTAGGCTCTCGGCTGGCGCCAGCCGGTGTTCTCCTTTCATCAGCTCGCTTGGTTCTCACAACAGCCCTGGGCGATAGAGACCCTTATAGTCCGTCTTCACAGATAAAGAAATGTAAGTTTCTGAAAGTTACCTGCTCATGGAAATACGGCTGATAAATGGTTGCCCTGGAGTTCTCACCAGGCGTCTTCAACTATTAGAGCTATCTCCCAACTGTATTCTAACCAGGACGGGAGCCGAAGGGAACAGTTGAAATCGTTTCCCAGAAATAGTGGGTAACTGAAGGGATAAAGATAAACTGGTTTTTCAGAAACAGTATGTTGTCTTCGTGCTCAGCCACTGCCACCCCAAAGTGGAGCCTGCCTGTTCCAGGACCTTTTCTTTATTCCCTGCCAATAAAAAACTTACATAAGCTATGTCATGTCACACTATGTAACCTACTACTTGTTTTACTATTGCTTTTAAAAATCAATGGGGGGGGGGGATTATAGAAACGACACGTTGACACAAGTGGAATATGGACTACAGATTGGAGTATCACCCATGTTAAAAGTCAGATTTTCCTAACTGTATTGTTAGCTAAGAGAATATCCCTTTTCTTACATAATACACTGAAGTCTTGAGTGAAGCGATGCGATGCATGTTACCGACGCTCAAATAGTTAGGAAATAACATGTTTATATATGTGAGGAGAGGGTAAGAGTGACAAAATGGCAAATTATGTAAAAATAGTGTATTTGGGTATGGTGGTTTTAAGATATGTTCCCAAGTTCACTGATACTCTTCTCTGGAAGAGATGGGGTCTGATTCTCCTCCCCTTGAGTGTAGGGCTGGGCTGAGTGACTCTTTTCTAATAGGATATAGGAGAAGTGACACCATTGACTTCAGAGGGTAGGTCATAAAAGCATGGTATCTTCTAGCTAGGTCTTGTTCATTCACTGTGGGCCCAAGTCTGGGGGAAGCCAGCTGCCATGTCAGGACACTGCCAACAGCCTGTGGTCAGATCTAGGTGTCCAGAAACTAAGGCCCCCTACCAGCAGATATGTGAGTAGTCTTGGAAGCAGATCCTCCAGTCCTGGTTAAGCCTTTAGCTGACTGCAACCCATGCCAACATCCTGACTGCAACTTCAGGAACCCCGAGCTAGGAACACCTAGATTACCCACTCCGGGTTCCCTGACCCTCGGAAACTGTAAGATAAAAAGTACTTGTTTTGAGAGTAGCCTGAAGCGGCTCAATTCGGTTGACCTCCGACTGGCTTTCAGGTCATGATCTCGTGGTCTGTGAGTTCAAGCCCTGTGTTGGGCTCTGTGCTGACAGCTCAGAGCCTGCAGCCTGCTCCGAATTCTGTGTCTCCCTCTCTCTCTCTGCCCTTCCCCTGCTCAGACTCTGTCTCTGTCTCTCTCAAAAATAAATAAACATTAAAAAAAAATTTTTTTAAAGTACTTGTTTTAAGCCACTTAGTTTTGGGGTAATTTGTAACATAGCTGTAGATAGCTAATACACAGGGTAAAGGGAATGTGTTTCTGTAATACTGTTGTAACTTTTATGTACGTTTGAAATTATTTCAAAATAAAATGTTAAAAGATAAATTTGAATTTTCTGTCCTATTTCTATGTAAAACATTTGACTAGAAATAGAAAACAAACCACTTTCCGTGGAAGGGAGAAGAAAGGCAGTTAGCCTGATGGATACTTCAAGTTACATTTTCCCATCAATAAGTAAACCCATCATTTGTTTATTATTTTTTAAGTAGGCTCCACACCCAAGGTGGGGCTTGAACTCAAGATCAAGAGTATCATGCTGTACTGACTGAGCCAGCCACACACCCCAGATCACCTGTTTAAAAATATTCTCGGTGGTGGGATGGCAGGGAGGGGGTGGGGGGACGGGAGGTGCCTGGGTGGCTCAGTCAGTTAAGCAAACGACTTTGGTTCAGGTCATGATCTCCTAGTTCATGGTTTCAAGCCCCGCATTGGGCTTTGCACTGACAACACGGAGCCTGCTTCAGATTCTGTCTCCCTCTCTCTCAAAAATAAGAACATTAAAAATATTCTCTGAGGTGCCTGGGTGCCTCACTGGGATGAGCATCAGAATCTTGGTTTTGGCTCAGATCATCTCACGGTTTGTGAGTTCGAGCCCCTCAATCTCAAGCTTGAGATTCTCTCTCTCTCTCCCTCTGCCCCTCCCCTGCTAGTGCACTCTCTCAAAATAAATGGATAAACTTTTAAAAAAATCCATAAAAAATAAAAATATTCTCTTGCAGAAACATTTCATTGAGCCTCAACTTGAAACTGTTTAGAGAAAGTCATGCGAGATTTCATAAATAAATTCCCAGGAGCTTGTTTTGGATGGATATAGAGGGCTGGTAAGATCATTTATTGTCTGGTTACTCTGATTCTTCATAGCCCCTCAGCTATACCAATTTTGCCATCCTCAAGAACTGATTATTGTTTAGTCATTCAGAAAATATTTTTGAGTACTCTAAGTGTTTCACTGGTTTACTAGACACTGAGGATATGTAAATAAATGAGATCATATTTATCTACATGTAGCTTAATTATACTGGGTGACAAAAGTTATGAAACAAACAAAAGGCAGATAATTGCAGACTGTGGCAAGTGCTGTTGGAAATAATGTAATAAGAGAAATTTAATACATATTGAATGTCCAGAATCTCAGGCTTTGCACTGGAAGAGCTGCAATAGTAAACAAGAGTAATCAGTCTTGTACTAACCGACTTATTGTGTATACATGTGTGGCTTTGTATGTTATTTGGGGTTGTGAAGATTCACAAACTTTACATTAAGTGGTTAGTGTGGGTCAGTTAGGGTTCTTTGGTTACAATCAACAGAAATTAGCATTGGCCAGCATAAGCAAAAGGTAATGATTTTTAAGGATATTGGGAGTCCCCCAAAATAATGAGAAAATCAGGCTTGAAAACAGGTAAGAACCAAGGTTTGGGAAGTTCATGAGAATACTTCAAGAGGTACTTTGGAAGGTACAGGGATCCCTTGGAGAGAAGAACAAGTGGCTGAAGCTAAATATTCCTAAAAAACCTTAAGATTATATCACAGAATCCAAACCTCAAAATGCACCATTTATTAAAGAAACTGCACTATATCAACAGAAGATCATTTTCTTTAACTATAAAACTGAGTCACTGATACCCCTTCACCCATCTCTTCCATAGAACCACCTTTTCTTGCTGATCCAGGAAAATCCAGAACATTTTATCATGAACAAAAAAGCCACCAAAAGCCCATACAAGGCTACTATAAAAAGAAAACAGAAAATGAAGACTTTTCAATTAAAAGATACTACACTCTAGAAAATATGAAGCAGAGGAAAACTGCATACAACATTCTCAATATTAATTAAATACCATTAAATATACAACTGCAGATGTGAAAGGATGCAACATATACAAGGTTTAAAACCCAGCAGGAATATGTGAACTGAGAGTTAATCAAACTCAGCCAATATACTGAAAAAATAAAATCATCTAAAAAAAATGAATACTAAATTACAGGGTTTCTAAGAGAGAACAGATATAATAAAGGTAAGAAACATGGGGGAGAAGAATAAATCAGCTACAACAACAACAACAACAACAAAAAGCATCAAAGAGAAAATGACAGCAAAAATTATCTGAGCCTCCAGGCAAAAGTCAACAACAAAGCTAATATTTCCAGGGGCACCAGGCTGACTCAGTGGAGCATGGGACTCTTGATCCTGGGGTTGTGGGTTCAAGCCCATGTTGGGTGTAGAGACCACTTAAAATCTTAAAAAGAAAAACTAACATTGCCAAAGGAGACAGATAAGAAGTGGTGCCAGCCTGACACTAAAACCAAGCAATACAATAGCGGAGCAACATTCTCCAAAAAACCCAAGAAAGTTTGAGCCAAGAATTTTATATCCAGTCAAGGTGAACTTAAAGTATCCAGGTTCCAGGAGAAATTTTAAACATGCCAGAACTTGAGGAACAGTGTGCCTAGACGTTCTCCCTTGTGTACTTTACTGGAAGAGCTTTATCCAGCCATGAGTTGACTGGGGAGGATTCAGCCAAAGTACTAGTGGAAGCACGCCTGGGTGGCTCAACGGGTGAAGCTCTGACTTCAGCTCAGGTCATGGTCTCGTGGTTTGTGAGTTCAAACTCCACATCGGGCTCTCTGTGGTCAGCCCACTTCTGATCCTCTGTCCTCCTCTCTCTCTGCCCCTCCCTAGCTCGTTCTTTCTCTCTCTCAAAAATAAATAAATGTTAAAAGAAATAATAAGTACTAGTGGAGAGTATTAAGTAGATTTAAAATATATTTAATATTATAACAAAAGCAGGCATTAGAGTGAGAAAATAGTGTGTAAATGTTATACATGTTCTAATCAAATAGAAATAAGGGAACTAAAAACATGAAGATTAGAGGAAGGAGTGGAATAAGTTCAGTGGTGTCACGAGGCAATTAGATGGGAATCAAAGAATATTTTTTAAAAATATGTATTTATTTATTTATTTTGAGAGAGAGAGAGAGAGAGAGCGAGCGAGCAGGGTAGGGGCAGAGAGAGAGGGACAGAGAGAATCCCAAGCAGGCTCTGCACTGTCAGCACAGAGCCCAATGTGGGGCTTGAACCCATGAACCGTGAGCTCATGACCTGAGCTGAAATCAACAGTCAGATGTTTGACAGACTGAGCCACCCAGGTGCCCCAGAATCAAAGAACATTTAGAGATGACAAACTAGAGGCACCTGGCTGGCTAAATCGGAGGAGCATGGGACTCTTGATCTCAGGGTCGTGAGTTTGAGCCCCACCTTGGGTGTAGAGATTACTTGAATAAATAAAACTTAAAAAAAATGACAAACAGAAACCCAGA